CTGCTACTTCCAAGAAATACATAATTTTTTATTTCTTTTACTTAAATTTACTTGGTTCTTCAGCCTGCTTGTTCAATTTTCTTATTGACCTTATTCTCATATTTTGGAAAAAAAAACCACAACCAAAACCCCCCCAAAAAACCCATAGAAGACTTTTTCTGAATTTGGCCATCTTCCTAGGTAAGAGCTGGTTTATATAAGGACTTCAGGATTGGGCCACAACATCTCACCTGTACTCAGGGCGCCTAGACGGGCTGCGCACGGATTCCTGCCAGGAATGGAATTCCTTTCGATGAAAGCATGAAGCCTCCACAATTCCTCTCTCTTTAAAAGATTTTCATTAAAGAAAACTGAGCAGAAGTCAAAGCCAAAGCAAGTCATAGAAAGAAATTTAAGACTAGTACACACTTCACATAAGGACAAAATATTTTTTGACAAATAAAATATACTTCCACAGCAAGTTTCAGTTTTACTTAGTTGGTGATTTCTGACAAAAATAAATGTATTTTGGCTTGTATTTGTAGCAATTTCACATCTTCTTCTCCAGTCTGCATGAGGTGTTGCCAGAATTTTTCTCATTCCTTGCGTGTTTTCACCCATGCTACTTCTGTTTAATAGCAGTGGTTCACCTTTTTCTGCTCCCAGAGTTTGATGAGGTAGACAGACTTAAACAAGAGAAAAAGAGATGCTTTAAGAAACCTGACTTCCTTGAGTATGGTAAAGGGCAGATTACAGTCTTTCCTTAAATTAGAAAATTAAACAGAAACTAATGCATGTCAAAGATCAAACGGGCAAGGAATAATCTGCTGCTGCAATTACCACCATCAGGGATTGATTCAGTTGATACTTTCCAAATACATTTTGACATCTCATAAAAATTACAGCTAAACCAACATAAACTAATTTCTGTTTTTCACAGGTGTCTATCAGGTTATAAACACACCTAACTTATTGGTTGTAATAAATGCATAATGGAAGGATATAGTTTAATATGAGCCATAGAACTTCTGAATCACCTGTGAAAATAAACTGAAATGGAGTATTTCTGTCTGTCAGTAAGTCCTGAAACATTTTGTGGCTTTTGAAAAATTAGACTTTTAGAGCTCTTTGACCAAAGTATTTTATTATTTTTTTTTACTCCCCTCATGACCTAGATGAGAATGGTCTAGTTGTAGAAACATTTCTCCCAGACCATTTAAGATCAGATCTACTGACTCATTCCATTGACCTAAACAGTACTGGATAGGACTAAAAATTATTTTCTCTTGATTTATTGAGATCACAGAATCACAGAATCATTTAGGTTGGAAAAGATCTTTAAGATCATGGAGTTCAACCATAAACCTAATACTACCAAGTTCACCACTAAACCATGTCCCCATGTGCCATATCTACACATCTTTTAGATACCTCCTATCTTTATGCACCATTACAGAAAAATGTTAAGTGTTTTCTTCACTTGTTTTGGGTTTTTATTTTTTGTTGTTTTGTTAGTGTGGGGGTATTTTTTGTTTGTTTGTTTTGTGTTTGTTTTGGTTTGCTTATCATTTAAATAAATATGAATTTATTTCAATACCTTGTTGATACTTAAAGATTTTTAAAAGATCTTTGGGAAATTTCTGATATAATTTCAGATTGCCATGTGCACAGTGCAATAATGCACAGAACAATGAAAAAAGAAAAAAGCGGGTTTCAGACAGCAAAAGTTCTTTTAATGTAGAATATAGTTAAGTGCAAATGAATAACTTAAGTCACAAAGTCATGTTTTTACTCTAGAACACCCAACCCTTCTTTAATAATTACAGAAATGCCTTTCCTTTATCAATAGCCCATTCTGATTTTGGTAGTAATAAAAGATCTCTAGCACCAAGATAATGGTATAGTATAATCTCTATGTAAGATTTATGGTATTTTAAATGCTGCACTATTTTACATTAAAGGCCAAAAGCTAATGCATACCAAGTATTCAGGAAATAAAGAAATCTAACTGAGATAGAATGAGTACTTTTGATCTTTATGATTTGGTATACCCTCTTCAGAGTAATATACGAGCCACTTGAGTTAAAATAAAATAAACCATATCTGATTTGCTGGTAGAAAAGCTGGACGAAAACTAATGTAACAAATATTGGAGAAATCAAAGTTATAACATATGCAACTTCTCTTAGTATTGTATGAAACAATGGATACATTCAAAATTAAAGGAAACTATCAGGGCTATGAACTTTTGTGCCAGGCTGAAACATGGCATAGAAAGTTTCAGCACAGCATAATCATTCTCTTGTAATTACAAAATTCAATTTAAATTAGTCCCAAAACTAAACATCTTCCCTCATAAGCTTTCATTCTTTCTTATTACTTAAATAATGCGGTGTTGTTTTGTTGATTTTTTTTTGAAAGCGATAATTTTGCATATCCTTTATTAAGATTTTCAGTGCTATGTCAAAAATTTACCTATTAAATAGATTTTTTTTTTCCCGTATCTTACTAGACTTTCTTTTTCTAAAGGAAAAAGATGTATAATCAGAAGTTGTGAAGTTACAATATCCAATCATACTTGACCAATCAATATGGGGCCAAATCTTGTGTAAGGAAACGCTGACACTGATTAAAAGCAATAGAAATCCGAGGACAAAATTAACATTTCTTACCAAATGCTCCTGCATGTTAGACGCAAACTATTACAACTCTCACTGGCAGAATAGATATAATGAAGCATATCTACACTAGACCCCTAATGACAGGTACTGTCACGTAGCAACAGCAGCCACCATGGGCTCCCAGAGGACACCAGAGCTGTTGGGGGATGATGAATCTCAGCTCTCAGAGCGAGGGCTAGCAGCAGCCTAGCTGCTAGCTAGGTTTTCTATACAACACCAGACCTGCAGCCCTAAACAGACCTCTCATGTCAGGAAACAGAGACTTACAGAAAGGATTTCCATTTTACCATAATCACTGTAAGACAATTAGAATCATTTAAATTCAGGAAAACGGCTGATAGAAAAAAAAAAAAAATAGAGATGCCAGAGCTTATTACATTGTAATAGTTGTAAAAAAAAAGAAAAAAACAAAACAACAAAACAACAAAAAACAAAACAAAACAAAACAAACAATCAAACAAAAAAAAACCAAAAAAACAACAAAACCCAGCATAATGGTGAAGCATCCTATTAATTTCAACAAAAATACTGGCCACTATAAACCTGCATGGCTGCAAAAGCTACAACTATTTCCTTTCCTTCTCTTTTCTGTTATGCTGTTGCCCTTGAGAGCAGGAAATCTGCTAATACATGGTGTAACCCTATTTCTATTTTGACATGGTTTTTGAGCTTAAAGCATAACTTCAACATATTTCAACTGATTTCAGCTGTGTTATAAAATCAACAATAGCAAAATTAAGAATAACTTCCCTTGCAAACAAAGATCTATGACTGGATCAACTGGATCAGTACAAAAGATCCACTGTTTTTCTACAGGCACAATAATTTAATAGTAAGGAGTGCTTATCTTTTCATTGAGACTGAAATTCATTCTTGTTTAGACTAGTCTATAAACTTGGCAGATTGCACATATGCTATGGAAATTCCTTTTAAGCCCTGTGAAGGATTTAGCACTTTAGAGGGATGTAGGCAATTCATTAGCCTCTGAAATTCATTTTAGAAATTTTAGACGCACACTGTGGCACCAGTGTCGAGACTCATTAAGTTAGTGCTACGTACCAGAACATTAGAACCCTCTCAGCCAAGGAAGAAAAGGCTTCAGAGAGCAAAGAAGAGGTAGATGAGGCATATTGTACTTCTCTTAGTGGCAAAACACAGTAAAGCCAGATTGGGGAACCTAAGGCATCAGCAAAGCACCTGCTAGCATGTGATTCAGAGTATTCAGTTGGTGTAATTTCAAAGTGTTCAAATTTGTTCAAAACAATTTTGACAAGTTTAATTATGCATTCCTTGAGTTTATGCCAGTTCTGGTGATGTGTGTGACATTTTCTTGTAAGCCTTTCCTGTTCATGAGGTGTTGTAGAGCATCAGATATGTATTAATGATTTCAGAAATGTGCCCAGGAGAAGTGAAATTTCAAAACCAGGAGTTTTCTATTGGGTCACTCTAAGTAGATTTTTGCCTTACAATTCCTACCCCCCGGGAAATGCACAGAAAAGAGAAAGTAATTTGAGCAACACAATAGCTTAAAATAGCCGGAAAAAAAAAAAAAAGCCGTAAAAAAAAAATTCCTATAGATCACATAAGGAAATTACAGAGGAAAAAAGGCATATGTATAGTCAGAATAATCAAAGGAATAAGTCTTGTAGAGATAATTAGTCCACAGCCCACTATGGGCTACTAAGAAATATGCTACAGCCTTATAACATGGGATACCTTTAAGCACCTCTACTGTATGCAAAGAAGCAGAAGGCCATTCAGCTACCTGAGAAGTGGAAGAAATTACATACTAATTATAGCAAGTTATTAACTGTATATATATGTAAACTGGATGGTCTATGCACTCTCAAAACAAATAAATAGGTGCACTCATAAACAAATAGCTATCAGATAATCAAAGAGCATTTGTCATCTGAGAACTACTTGCACAAAGAAGGAAACAATATCTGACTTCAGTTGAAACTCTAAATGATCTTTAAGAAGTGCTGGGTTTTGGATATTTTTCCCTAAAATATTTATCTTAGAAATGAAATCAGTTTCAGTATCTGCCAGAAACATTTAATAAGCTGCAAGATAGGAAAATATAGTATTAAAATAGCAAAAAGTTTTGATTCCTTACAGTTGCTCTTTTTTTTTTAAAATCTAATTGGGACCAACTGGCCTCATTGCTTCTTATAAACTTAGCAATATATATTCAGAAAAAGGAATAAAAATGAACAGATGTTTCTCCTTAAAGAAGTCAGACAAAGATTTTTCTTACACAATAAATCAGCTGCTAGTAGATTTCCAGGACACTGCTCCAGGCTAACTGTTTAGGTATGGCTTAAAAACCTGGTTTACCTCTGTATGTATCCAAAACTGGTAGAGTAGATTAAACTGCAGATGAACAGCAAACACTGACGAGGGAATGAAAAGAGCCATGGGCAAGTTGAAAATCTGAAAAATGAGAAAGAAAATATACATTAGATTCATAATTCTAAACTTGTGATGATATAACAAAGTATTATCTCAAGAGCTCAAAGCACTACACAAGATAATTGCTTCTTCTAATACCTCCATAATGTAGACAGAGAATAGATACTGATTATTATATTACTCCTAGATGTACTATAGCAAATGAGACAAACTGATACAAAAGTGATTTCCCAAAAGTCATACTGAGCAAATAGAAACATCAAGAAAAGAACTCAGAAATCTAGATGTTTATTCTGCCTACTATATGGAGCAGGAAACAACATATCCTCGACACGGAGGGTTCACATATAGGGGAGAATTATCATAGAGTAAGAAAAGTGTGAATTTATAACACTATAGCTTTTCCATTCAAACTCCCTATGTGAGCACCATAAGGGCAAGGCAACTTGGCTTTCAAAGTTAATTATAAATTCCTCATGATATCTCCCTTGAAGCTCCAATACATTGCTGAGCTCTAAAGCTGTGCTAACACAAAAACAGCTTCAGAAAACTGCTTACTTAGCAAAGACACCGAGTGCCCGGAATTTCACCATTAATTGCTTAATTGGCTGAGCAATAGAAAAAGACTTCCAAGACCTTCACGTACTACAACTCTCTGTGCTTTCTTCAGAAAAAGGCCTTTTTTTTTTTTCTTTTACCTGACACTGTTTTATACCAGCTGCATTAAAAACAATCCTTCCCTACAATACAGAGATTTTCTCTAAACCAAGCAGTAGTGGAGCTATCTTTAAAACTTTAAAACTCTTTAGCACTCGGGGAAAATCTGAAAAATCTGGATAGAAGATAACAGCTCCCTGTGAAACAGCAAAATTAACAAAATTCGTTTTCAAGTTCCTATTGCCCTTCTCACAAAAATCAAATATTTGAACATCAGAGAAAGCAGTCTGATAGACATGACAGGCCTCCTGAGCCAGGAATTCCTTTAGCGTAGGTCTGCACACATATTAATGTCAATATTCCCCCAGTTTTTGCCAAAGGGCCTACTGAGTAGGTAAGATGTCACACCGAGGTTGTAAAACAACTGCACCTCCATCCTCATGGTGTGAATAATGCTCTTGAGAACATCACCACAGCAGTATCTCACTGTTTTGAGCCAATGGAGGACTAAGGCCCTGCAATCCCAGTTTGGCATGCTGGCGGCAACACTGGACAACTGAAGCATAATTAAAAATACCTTATGTTGCTGCAGTATCACCTGGTAAGACTGGGACAGCTGTGATTTCATAAACTCCAGTCAAGGCTTCACAGATTACAGCTGCCCCACAAACTGCACATGGAGTGTTTCTGGTTGAATATCTTCAAAGTACTTTTCCAAAAAGTAAAGGAATTGTGGTGGAAGAAATATATTGAGCTTTTGGAGCTTGGGGGAAATAATGCAAATAGCTATTTTGTTTTAATCAGTCTGACCCTCAAAGGCTGAAGAGTTTGCATAACATTTATAAAATAAAAGAAAAATATATTTGGAAGGTGAATTTTGCATATTCAATGCCTAAGAATCACTCAATCTAAGCAAACTCACAAAAATTCACAGCAACTCTTACCTAACATGGGTAGCTAGTAAATGCCATTGGGGCATGCGGCACTTAAACATGAAATTCTGGAGTAGATGAGCATGAGATTTCTTTAAAAATTAAAAACACAGATCACACCGCCTTGTGCAGAAAACTACTGAATGAAACCCCACAAACCATGCTCTGAAACAAAAATGTAGTGCAAGCCTCCCATAGTTTAGGAAACATCGCCTAAACACTGTCATTGAGTCAGTCTTTTCCGAGTTCCTTCTTCCTCATTCCTCTAACCTGAGAGATATTTGTCTCACAACAGCCAGAAGGCTGTCATGTTTTTTCTCAAAGGTTATCTCACAAAGAAGCCAGCGGAGTAGGACCCATGGCCATGTTTAAGTAAAGCTACTTTAGTTTTCTCTTATTATTGATTGTACCTGTCTAATGGCATGATAAGAGCAGGAAATTTTTTAAAGGAAATGGAAAGGAAGTTGATTTTAAAAACAAACAACCAACCCCCCCTTCCAAAAAAAAAAAAACAACCCCACAAAAAAAAACAAACAAAACCCAAGAACAAAACAGAAACTAAAACCAAACAGATGGTTTTCAGATTATTCATGGAAATGGTTGCAGGACTGAAAGCAGGGTTAAAAATTTTATGGTTTTTCCCTAGAACTACCAGAGACAATTTGGTGGTATTTGCAGATGACTCAGAGGAGAAGAAAGGATCATCTTCATATTTATTTTCTAACCTACTTCTCACAATGAGTACGAGGATTTCTCTGTTAAGTGGTGAGAGGAGAGAATTTTCATATAAATCCACAGGTAAATTTGAGATTGACGAAGGAGAATTATTTCCTAACTGCCTCAAGTTTCCTTGCAATGCAAGCTTTATTTTGCACAGATTAAGGATTTCAAAGATCATTTACAGAAGTAGAACCCACAGGGATGAATAAAAACCTCTCCCAAACAAAGATTCAGTTTCTCCTATTGGTGGTTCCACTGAAACAACAAGATCAATGTCAGAAAAAAACCCAATAAAATCATTAAATAGTTTTTCACTGGAAATGCCAATTCCCCATATCAAAACATTTCATGGGAATGTACCAGCTTTCACTAATCTGTAGAGGAAAAGCTTTTATGCTTCCAAGATGTTATCTATGGTCAAAACTGCAGAAAACTGTTTATCACACTCGCAGATCTTTTCCCACTTGTGGATTCAGGGACAGATTGAGAGAGCGCTGCAATAACTGATAACCTGATGGGAAAGGCACGCAGCAAGGGAGTGGAGACGGATTTGTAGCTGGGGCTGCTGCACTGCAGATGTGTAGCTTCACACTTAAGGCACTGCCCCTTTTGAAGGGTGCATGTCTGCTGCACACTCTCTGACATGGGCATGCTCCACCTTTCTCCCTCCCATTTGCAAGTAAAAGCTAATAAATGCTTCCACAATAGATAGGGAAACACTAGAAACTCCTGAGGTTTAGCAGGTGGGCCGAGTTTCCTGCACTAAGCCCCTCCATCTCCATGCTGGAGACACCTGCTGATGTGTCCAGTACTCATCAGACAGGACACAGAGGGGCAAGGGGCAGCTGCCCACAGCTAATTCATGTGGGTTATACTTGTGTGAGGATTTTGCAGGAGTTAAAGGGTAGAAAAAAAAAACCTATCCCTTACAAATCCCAGATCTGGCAGACTCCTCAGTAGATAAGAAATTAACTTTGTGACTCTGTGCTGAAAAGAATGGTGTTACCTCTTCCCTTTCCAGATCTATATATAGATTTTTCCACTGTTTTTAAACCAACAAGGTATAGTTCAACCCTTTATCGAAATGTATAGTCTAAAGCTATCAAATTATTATGGATTTAATATTTGCAATTAAACCTTACCCTCAGAGGAAAGTTGAGAATTGGTACTCAAAGAATTAAATTATAGCTTTTTGAGGTGTATATGCAACTCTTTCTTTTCACAATTAAACTAAGTATTTTATCAGAAGCAAAAATTTATATAGTATTAGCTTGCTGATTTCTTCTTGAAAATGAATTTACATTTTTATTTCCACATTTTTTTCCCCCACAAAATGGGCTTCAAAACCACATTCAGTCTTAACAGGTCTGCGTCTCTATGGCCCGTTCACCGGAGTAACAGAAATACTGCGTGTGCAAATGACATGAAGCAATACACATTTGGTTCCAAGCTCAGGAGTGTACCTCTATCACTGATTGTACTTAAAGCATGTTTTTCTCTTTTCTTTCATTTCACATCTTTTCAATCAGCTTGAGCACAACCCACACAGATTAATATGCTGATTTATTTATCTTATAATGTTTAACTTAAAACACATACACAGCTGGCAGTAGAACAGTCCCACAATCCCACACCATCCACCACAACTTTCTCACAGCCTCCACAAAACTGGATGACGAACTGCATTCAACAGTACACATTCAGCAACAACAAAGGAAGATTAACTAAAGGCTTCACTGAGTTTCAGCAGTGAGGGGGTTCTGGACAAATCTGGAAGTCTAGAAAAATAGCAGTGCTATAAGAATTAGCAGGAGTTGTTTTCATGTACAGTAAGGTTTTGGAGAAAGAAAACTGGTATAACTCTCACATTCTGGGGGGAGATAAACCAATATTTATACTAACTAAACATTTTGGCTAATACCAGATATTTGATGAAAAACCACTGCACACAAAAGTATTATGGATTCCTAGGTTTATTTCCCTTTACTCATAGCAAATGAGTTTTAAATGTACCTATATTATTTGCCAAGTGATACCAGCATGGTCCTGAGGGTGGTCTTTAGAATCTAAGGCAAACAGACATCTTGGCTTTCCTGAATATCTTATGCTCTCTGAGGGACCATCCTCAAAATCAGGCAGTCAGACAAAGTGCTCATGCACACACCCATATGTACATACATGCTTTTTGTCTGTTTTGAATTATTGTTTTTGTTAAGCATTTGCACATATGGTCCCAATGGGCAAATGTGCAAAGGTTAAATATTTAACATGGCATATTTACATAGGAAGCGGTATTGTAACAGAGATGCATCCCTTCCGCTATTGTTCACTGTGGTCATTTAAATCTGAGGCACTCCTGCTAACATCAGATGATTCTTTTCTGGATGAACAAAACCTAAGAATTTACGTAGAAGACTTTAAGAAACAAATCTAAGGAATAGTATCTGTTTCACAGTTTGCAGCAGCAATTTTTTATTTTAACCTAGCACTTTAACTCATTTAATGTTATGTGCTTAAATCACTTACAAACAACAGATTAAGTCCATGTGCAGACATGGGAGCATAAATAAAGACTAATTTTATTGAAGTTAATGGAAGTGCACTGGATTTGCATGTGTGAGTACACACACTTGGCTTTGACTCATTTGCTCATAGGCTAGCTGTTGAGATTCCCAGAGGACTGTGGGTTTCCTCCACCACTAGTATTATACATCATTGGAGAGGAGCATTTATATATTTTATATACAAAAATACATTGAATATTGCTTTGCTTGACCTCTAATTCTGAAAATTCAAAATTTTAAAATTATTAAAAAAATAGAACAACAATCAAACAAACTACAATCTGAGTTAAAAATATCTGAGTCAAACGAGAACATAAAATTGAAATGAGAAAAATCGGCAGAATCTAATTACCCTGAGCCCAAAACTGAACACTGAATAGTATGTTACATTTATGAATACATTTGGAAATATAAGGTTTTAAATCTGTAAATGAGTACTCACCTTAATTTATATTACATGTATACACAGCTCAACATTTAAAACAGATCATATCTGAAGTAACACTAGGTAAGAATAGTGGCATACTGCCCTTACTGGAGTATTGACACATGACATGAATGGGCAGAGACAAATACATCTGCATGTTCAAGGCAATCTCTAGCAACAATTTCTCTCCCTGCTCCTTTCAGTTACACAGACATATTCTACAGTAGTTATACTCTGATCTTTTTGCTGTATTTATGCATGAATAACTGAATGAAAAAAATGGCCCAATTTTACTAAAAAAGTTATGAAAATATAAATGCAGAGTTATAATTAGCCTTCTTAAACTTAACTACTGCATTCTTTTTCAAGTTTGCTGTGAAAACATTAATGAATGTATTTTTAAAGCTTATGATTCGCACATTTCTCAGGTTCAACTTTTATGTTTCCAGGGTCAAATATCTTAAAAAAAAAAATGTTTTCCTTTAAAGGAAAATAAACACTATTGTTTCACTTTTACTACATCTTGCTGATATTAATTTGTCAAATCTTGTGCAACCTACCCAGGAGGTGTACCTTTGTAGGACAAATTGTCACAAGGCTGTGAATAAGTTGTAATCTTCAGAACTGTGATGTACTTGGTGTGAGGCCCACAGTATATTAACCTCTGCAAAACACATAATTTCTAATGAGGTATGTACTAGAGAACAAAGCAACATTTGTTTGCCAAGGCCTTTTTTCATAAGCTAGAATCAACTAATCCCCCAACTTACACTTTGCTATTTTACCTTATATAGCAGGTAATAAAACCTAATGCTCAGAGGTGAGTTTGGGTAGGCTGTGTTAAATGTCAGTAAGTTGACAGAAGTCAGTGTAGATTTCATGCTGAGGAAGGCAAGGCTGTGGCAAGAACTCATATCATTGCTGGAAGAGTAGAAGGATGCTTGTGATGGGAGTTAAACAGCCAGAAAACCTGAGCTTGGTCCTGATAACAAGAGTTAGTAGGAGCTCTGTTCTGGGGTTCAGATGGACAAAGACTGAGGATGCTTTCATGCCTGCATTTATTTACTAAAGTTATCTATTTCAAGACCAGAAAGGGAGACAAAATGTTCCAAAAATCTTACACTTCAAATTTAAACAGCTTAACTGGTGTCTGCTGTTACGCTTACAGTTTTCTGGAAGGCATAAATCTTCAAGCCCACTGATACCACAGACCACAAAACACAGCCATTGCCTGCCCGCTAGTGACAAATGGAAAAACAAATGGCTGCTTGCTGGGAACTCTGGACCCAGACAACAGAGAGCAGTGGCTCTATTATGTTACAGTTCAAAAAAAGTTGCTGGAATAAGGGCAAAACCAGTGTCAGCCACGTCCTCTGAAGGCACACCACCTCTAATGTGCTGCAGTGAAGAATACTTCAAAATCCTGACTGTACTTCCAGGTACATTTTTTATTAAGCGCAGACTGGAGTGGGCTCTCTGCACTGTATATTGGTATCTGGACAGCTTTAAGTGGGAGGTTAAGATAGAAATGTTTAGGTTCATCAAATGTATAGCTACAAGAATGACCTTAATTACAGCAAAATGAAAAAGTGGGTGGTTAATGAAGCCCAAATAATGCCTATTTAGCATAAACCTAAATTTAAGGTCACGTGTTTCCAGGGATGAAGCGTACACAAAGACTCAGCTGATTACAGAAATTAAAATTTAACTGGCTGTCCGCCAGCTGCACGCTCCATTTGCCACTGACTTGTTTCACTAGAGTAATTAGAAAAGTGCCTTTGGCAGATATTAGAATTGTATTCACAGAATGATCTTATAATGTGCATTTAAAGTCCTGAAATTATATAGTGCCAATCTTACATCCCATAGTTTAGGCCTGGTGATAAAAATGTATTTGCAAGTGTAAAGTAATGCCAAAAACTCCTCTTAATGAATCTCAAGGTGTTTTCATTATCTCAGGGGACTAGATAGTCTTGCAACAGGAGGTAAAAGTTTTATGCTAGAAATTGAGAATTTTAAATCCAATTAATTTTGGCAGTTTGGTAATTTACATGACATCATTTTTAAATGCGTTTAAGTCCTTGAAAATCCTTACAATTGCTGAAATAAAATTGTAATTTCAACTATTATAAAACACTTCATACTAAATCTAAGTATTCTTCCTTCTTTAAATGCATTTGTTCCTGAAGGAACAAGTATTCACTATATCAAGAATTAGTGATCTCTCTCAAAACCCCTCTGACCTCATCTTAATGCATCTCTGCCTAATAAGCTCAATAGGAGATGAATTATTCAGGTGAGCTTCAGTACTCAGTAATAATTTGTATCTGAAATGATTCCCAAGACCTCAACAGAAGCTAAATGAGTGAACAAAGCATCTGAAAAGGTGGAGGTTAAAGACCTGTCTCCTTAGTTGTTTTAAAAGCATTTACTTCCTATCACAAACTGTGTGTAACACAAGCCTTCACTCAATGAAGTACAGCTGTGCAAACAGGGTACAGTAACTGGATCTTGCTTCTTTCTCTCACTCATTTTTCAGCATTATGAAAAGTTCAAGGAAGGGAATCTATGATGATTTTTACAGTCTACTTTCGCTGTAGTTAAGGTCAAATGGTTTTCAAAATGAATTACTAAAAAGGCATTTTATTAGCATTCATTTTTCCATTAAACTGCCTCTTACACTAACAAGAATATCAAATAAGGTAACTGAATGTTGGTAAAATGTTAATCTTTCAGATGTGCAAGTCATGTTAAATGATCTATCATTCAAAAATACACACAGGAATATTAGGGACATAAACAAACAATTCTGCCACAAGTAATTTAACTGCTAAAGCTATTTCCGACTTCTGTTACAGCTAAGTAAATTAAACCCTGCTCCTTAATGCTATTCTTGCTGACATTAATGTCATAGACTATGTTAAATTCCTTGGCAAAACAGGCAGAGCTGATAATTAGAAATAGTTTTTCTCTTAAAAATTTACCTGAAGAAACTGGCTATCAATAACTTTTTATTTGAAGTGAAAGAATAACAGCATGACTAAGTGTGAAACAGATCACCTCAAAACTCAATCTATAACCATTAGTATATTAAAAATGTTATAATTCTAACACCTAAAAGACATGTCACAAATGTAAGAAACTGAGCAAGCACTCTTCAAGGAATACAGCTGACTGCTCACCAACTACCTGCAACATAAACCAAAATCTGTGCACCTATAGAAGAGCTGTGGTTTCATTTTTTCATTCATAATGATGATAACTTGAAGCAAAGAGAAAAGTTACTTGAATTAGAACATAATTATAAGAGACTCACATGCATTTTCTCATATGTATTACTACATAATGACCAAAAAGGAGAGCAAAACCAAGATACGGTCAACTCCAACACAGATTTTTCTTCTTTTTTCTTTTTTTTAATATATGTAGAAAACAGAAGACTTTGTTTTTGTTAATTTCTGCAGCTTTCAGTGATTTTCACAGCCCAACACATTTTGGTTAACAGAAGGAGAAAATATTTCTGCCAAGAAAACCTGTAGGCATTTCAAGAAGTGAGGTCAAAGAAAACAACCATTTTACACAATTCTCAAAATCAGTGAAATGGTAAAAATCTGATGAATGCTTATAGAATAAAAAGACTACACACACCTTTTAATTAAAAGGGTGTAATTTCTTTTCACACTGTTTTCTAAGACCTGGATCTAAAACAAAGTGTAAAAAAACCACAAATGATTTAGAAATACATCCATTAGATGTATTTGATGAGTGATGTAAAGTTTTTATTCTTTTTCAGTCAATGCTGACTAGTTAGGAGAACAAGTGAAGGTTTCCCCTCAGCACCTACTTAAATTTAAAAACCTTCAATTTCACTATGCTTGCCACCTCCTACAAGATTAAATGCCTTCAGTATTCAGTAAGGTAATGAACTACAGTTTACCTAGTTAGAAATTTAAAAGATAGCAAAATTACATTTACTGTGCCACAGATCACTATATTACGATTAACTCCACAAAGCCATGCATTTGGCAAGGCACCCCTCATCCATGGCACGGTCCCTGCCAATCTGTGCATGAAAACTGGCGCTTCCCAGAGCAGCTGTAACCAGCAGTGCTTCAGAGGCAGGTATGCTGTGCTGCATTCACATTCAAGCAATAGAAAAGGGATCATCTCATGGATCTACTTCTCTCCAGTCAGAATTAGTAGAAACCTGAAAACAACTAACAAAAGAAAAATGGCCTGGAAGGCACATCTTCCAGTCATTTCTTTTCTTTCCATTTCACACATATACACACACACTCCAAAGATAAAAGAGAGAAAATACATAGCATTTACCCAATTTCTTCACTAAACTATTAGCTCTCTTATTCACAATTGCTACCGTCCTAGTGTTCTGTTGATGCTTCCAAAATTTTTGAATAAATCTCTTCTTATGCAGGGCATTTTCAGAGTCTTATTCCCTGCTGGATTCTACACTTGCACCAGATGAACAACCACTGAGGCAGAGCACCATTTAAGTTTTGTCAGTGGAAAGGACAATTAATGCCTTACATGAAAACAGAAATCTACCTACACGGGTTAGTTATCATCTCCACAACAGAAGTATATATGACCTGCACATGACTCTCCTGTTTACTCTGTTGTGGTGCAGTCCCTCTTCTGTTACTCTTATGATCCAACTTTGCTTTATGCTTTTTGTTTTAGTGTTGTTCAATAAGAGCTGCAAAATAGGTTATTTGCCAAAAGCCTCTGTTTCCTTGTATTAGAAATATAATTCTTATAGGAACGAATTCTTTCCTCAGTTACGTTAGTGTAAGCATAGAGCTGTGGGGGTTTAATGAGAACAGGATTAGATCCAAGGAATTTGTCTGGAAGACTGTGTTATATACCACACACAAAGAAGCATGTATACAGGGAAATGTACACTTTTGTTTTGCCTTTTTTTATTTTTTTAATAAGACACATTTTTCTTACAGTTTGGCCTTGGCTACAGTGAGTGCTGGCAGTTTGTAGTCTCAGGATAATCACATACATAAATCAAAAGACTAGTTGTAAGGAGATCTGAGTTCAAGTCATTAGCCTTGGTTCACTGTAGAGCTTCAGACAATTTTGTTAACTTCTTTCTTCTGCACGTTTTTATTGAGAAGCACCTATCTGTGCTTGTACCTGACACACACCAGTTCTCAGCATTTAGAAAGGAGTTGCACTACAGTTTAGAATAACAGGACAAACAGACTACATTAGCCTTTGTTCCCAGAGTTTGTGTGCCAGAAAGAGAAGTGGAACAACTCAGAAGCACCTCTTCAGTCTCAGCACTATCTGGTCCCCCTTGGTCATTTTGCAGTGAAAGAGATTGCCACAACTCAGTGGCAAACAATGATAGGACAAGGGGTAATGGGTACAAACTGGAACACAAGAGGTTCCACTTAAACTTGAGAAGAAACTTCTTCTCAGTGAGGGTGACAGAACACTGGAACAGGCTGCCCAGGGAGGTTGTGGAGTCTCCTTCCCTGGAGACATTCAATACTCACCTGGACACATTCCTGTGTAACATTATCTAGGTGTTCCTGCTCTGGCAGGGGGATTGGACTAGATGATCTTTTGAGGTCCCTTCCAATCTCTAGCATACTGTGATACTGTGATATTGTGGTACCAATTCCAGGATAG